TAGGAAGAGGTACTTGAAAGAAATTGGTTTTTCTATACACATGATGTGAGACAATCAATAGTGCTTTAGTCTGACAAGTACTGTCAATATCCATTGTCACAGTTCAGAAAGTCATTAATGGATAGTTCTTCAAAAACCAATGCTTTCATCACGTTGGAAGTGTTCAGATATACTGTACCTGGCAGGAATTAATCATAGGTAAACCCTTGTGATTTAGTATAAATGTTTTGTAAATTACTTGTGAAAGGAAAGTCATTGCAAGGAGTGTGAGATAATGTTACGTGTCATTAGAAAATCCAGTAAGATATGGAGCTGTTTAGGAGATATTTTAATGTTTTATATTCTGAATTATTCAAGATTAGCCATGAATGTCTCACCCAGGAAAGAGTCTGCTAGACATCCACTGTCTAGGTACAACCCTTCTGCCCCTTAGACAACTTTTCTACTATATTCATAGAAAATAATCACTTAACATACACTTAAATAAACCTTCCCCATAAAGGGCTAGAGCCTTCTCTGTACCTTTTAGTTGTGCCCATGCCAAAATCCTAAAGAAAGGCTTTCACAACTTCACCTTGCAAATATGTTAGCTATTGCTTCAGCCTACTGAAGCGATAATATGTTTATGATCATTGCATCATATAGACATTTAGTGCATTCAGATATGTCACACAATACTTCATCTGTAAATCTCAAAAGTTCCACTGACTCTGATAGTGCTGTTTTTGCAAAATGGTGTGATTTATGAGCAATGCATTAATTCTTTCCTTCCGCCTGTCTTCTTGTGTAAAAGCTATATATATTATTAGGAATATTAAGGCTAGATTTTTGGAGTTGAATAAGTATTCAGAGGATTTATATAGGCCCCCCAAAAGACAGGTCAGTTTTTATCTTGATTTAATATTCTTTTGCAGAGAATTTAGCCTCTAGTTATCCTTCCTAATTCAGTCAGTGTTCTTACAATGCTATTTAACATCAAGAGCCACAAATAAGTTCTTTCTTTTATGCCTAATGCTCTGCTTATACTATTTTCTTTTTTTACCAGTTCTGTATTACACTTCTCTAATGTGGTAAGCTTTATGATTTAATGTACTTTAATTCTAGAGCAGATAGTAAATTGCCTGAGGAAAGGAACTTGCTTTCATTTTTTTTTCATTTATCTTTTAATACCTGCAGAATAAATAAATACCTCCCTAATAGAGTGACCAAAATCATTAAAAATATACTTATTTATTTATTTATTTATTTATTTTATGCCTGAGGGGACCCAGTTTATTCCAATCCAAATGCAAGTTTGTGTAATTCCAAGCTGTGCTCCAGGTATGCTTTTGCTTCTGTGTTGGAGTATCCTGCACCCACTTCCAGCAGAAAGAAGTTAGCATAATATTGTGGTCCCTGTTGGGTTTCCCCCTATGTCTACTGTAAAAATGCCCCATCTCCTGTAGTTTCTCTATATCCCTTGAACATTATTAGTAACATAGATACAAAAATACTTAAAAGTGTCATGTAAATGTAGGGGAATTATGCTTCTGTTCTGTGTTGGATTCGAGGCACTTGTGTCGATGCAAGTAGCTCCAGAAATGGAGGATATCAGTTTATTTAGTGCAAAGAATCAAATGGCACAGCTGGGCAGTTTATGCCTGGATTTGAGAACAAGTATTAGATTTATTTTCTATTATTCTATGCTTAGAACCTTAAGTGTGCTGTTTTTCTTCAAATACTTTGCTGAACTGCTTTCCACTTTTTTGCATTGCCTGAAGCTAATCAGCTTTCTTTCATGGAGGAGTCTTCTGTCCAAATCCACAACATGAAATTTTAAAAAGAAGGTACTACAAACTATATATATATATAAAAAGCCACTATATATATATATATATATAGTGGTTTATATATATATATATGTATATATATAGTGGTTTTTCAGTTTTCTGATTTTTTTTTTTTTCCCTCTCTTGGAATTGCATTTGGCCCTCTTTCTATTTCCAAATATGATAGCAAAGTCATTTTAATGATAATGTGAGAAGAATGGTTTGGCAAGAGAAGGGTTATTTCTAAATGAGATCTTGACAAGAATATTTCTGGCTAAACTTGGTTTGGAACATGCTATCTAAACCCTTGAATTTCTGGGAGATTTGGAGTTTCCCTCTGGTGAGTCATACTTAATAGAATAAAACGAAAAATTCATCAAAATTGGCTTTGCTGCTGTTTTTAGCTATGTTCTATACCACCCAACCTATAAAATGCAAAACATCCATGACAATAATTATTCCTACCTCTAGATGTAGTTTTAACACCATAATTGCTGTTTAAGGTATGAAGATTCTGGCTGCGTTAATGCATCTTTCTAAGCAGAGAAATCTTTACCCTGTTATCAAATCCTAGCTTCCTCTATCTTGCTGTTTGCAGAATTATCATATTCAATTCAGTTAAAATCTCTAATAAATTCTGTGCACATTTAGAGCTAAGAATGTACTTAAAGTGGGCATAAAGCTTTCCAGAGTCCTGCAGAATGTGAAATGTGGCAAGCATCTAAAGTCACTCCTGAGCTATTTTCAGTCCTGCAATTGGTAAGCTTCATACTGTAAGTCAAGAAAAACCAAATCTACGTATGAATTGCTGTGGACAGAATGACCCGAAGCAACAAGAGAGTCCCGAAACTAAGTACAATTCACTTCACTGTTTCAAAGTACCATTAAGATGCAGAATTAGAAACATCCATTTGTTGTTCTTTTTATAGCATGGCCAAGTGACTTGGAATTTTAGCTTGTCCCTGCCAAGGATTGCTCAATTTTGAACAAAAAGTCCTCAACTATAATGTTAAAAAAGCACCAGCCATCAATTGAATGCTAATCTTTATATTCTATGATACATCGCTCCAAGAATGCTCCATTAAATAAATGTGAATTCTATTTTTCATAAGTGATGGATTATTGTACCAAGCTGTGTATTTTCCAGTAAAGTGTCCTTTTATTTGTCCTGTGCGATTACTAGTTTGTGGAAGTATGTGTGGGGTCATTTTAGTGCTGTGGGAAAATGGAGCACTCTTCTGTTAAAATCAGTAGTGAAATCAGGAGCAAACTATGCTCTGATCATCATAGGCATGTGTTTAAATATTGCTTTCCTTAATTGGCTATGTTCTATTTACTTAAAATGAACAATTTGGCAAGTTTTTCTCCCTTGACAACAGCAAAGCATAAACCATTTTATAAGTTTGGCTGTTAAAATCAGATTTGTAATGTAAACCACAATATTCCAGGGTTATTATCATCGCTTAACCAGTTATTTTAGCTTGCCATTGTTTTAGACTTGTGTACCTTTAAACATTCCGGTTCTGTTTATACCTAATGCAAAACTTCTTACTATAAAATAGCCCAATAATTTTGATTATAATTTGCTTTCTGTAAACCTCTTCCCTGAATCTTCCATCTGAAGATCATTGCATTGTAGAGGAGATCTGCTCTGGGCAGGGAATGTTATTTGGGGTCCTTAGAGTCACAGAATTCTCAGAGTTGGAAGAGACCTCCCAGGCTTCTTTTCTCCAGGCTGCACAGCCCCCCCCCAGCTCTCTCTGCCTGTCCTCACAGGAGAGGTGTTCCAACCCTTGCACCATTTTTGTGGCCCTCTTCTGGAGATGCTCCAACAGGTCTGTGTCTCTCCTGTACTGAGGACTCCACATCTGGATGCAGTGCTCCAGGTGAGGTCTCACCAGCACAAAGTAAAGGAGCAGGATCACCTCCCTTGCCCTGCTGGCCACGCTCCTTTTGATATAGCCCAGGATATGTATGGCTTTCTGGGCTGTGAGGGCACATTGCTGGTTTATGTCCAGCTTCCCATCCACCAGTATCTTCCCAGGTCTTTTTCAGCAGGGCTGTGCTCAATTCTTTCACCCCCTAACTTGTATTGGTAGTAAGGGTTGTCTTTACCCAGGTGCAAAATCTTGCATTTGGATTTGTAGAACCTCATGAGGTTCACCTGAGCTTCTTGGAAGTTCTACAGAAAGGGAAAACAGATCAAATCCTGCAAGATTAACTTGTGGAGAATCTCTGCTTTGGTAGTTTTTTAATATATCTGTCTATTTGTTTGTTTGTTTATTTCTGTCAAGGGCAAGAGAGACCAAGACAAAGGTCAGACAAGAGTCCTGAGGCTCAGGTGGTTTGTCAGAAATTTCTAAAAATCTTCTTGTCCAGGGAAACCTTTGGAAAACATCTTCCTGTGGCTTCTCTGTTTCTTCTGGAGCATCCAGCAATGAGCAGAATTTCTTCTTGCTGCTAATACTGCCTATTTTCATAGCTATGATGGTGCCCTGTAAGCACCTCAGCAGAGAAGAAGTTAAATTTATGCCTTTGAAACTTCCTCCAGGGGATTTTCTGCAGCTGGGTTCTATGTCTTTTTGACACAGAGCAGGAATAAATTGAGCTCAAAATGTTTCTCAGTTTGGTAAATGCCTAAATATAATAAAATATAATCATTAGGACAGGAATACTTTTCTTTCCATAAATTAATGCATCTTGCACACATTTCATGGCATACAGCCATGATTTCTATAACTGCATTAAATATATATATAACGCTTAATCCATCTTGGCAAGAGAACTCAGTCCTTTGCTAGTGGAGTAACCATCCATCCTTTCTCTTTGCAAGCAGCATGGAGCTAATAGTGCATAACACACTTTCAGTCCGGACTTTTAGTTGAAAAATCATCCATGTGAAACTTGTGGAATTCCTGAACATTTCATGAGTAAACTGGTAGCCATCCAAATACTTATAGGCAATAAAAAACACGTCTCTGTAACTAACCAGCAGAGTGAACTTGTTATGTTTATTCAGAAAAGTATTAATCAGATTCTCTGTACTGTCCAACCAGCTACACTGCTGACCTACCGCATGACTTTACTGGGGTGGTTTTGGCCATTGCTTTCCAAGAATATTTGAGCAAACTGTTATTATTAATACTTTATAAATAAAATTTCACTGAGGCTTTTTCTTTTGTTTTCCTTTAGTTTTCAGGCTGAACTACAGTGCTTCAGACTCAAATGACAGAAACCGAGTTAAAAGCAGATTAAAGAAGTTTATCTCCCGAAGACCATCCTTGAAAACGTTGCAAGAAAAAGGGCTGATTAAAGGTGTGTTCTCTTTTATAATTTTTGGAATTGAAAGTAAAAATATACAAATGAATTTGCTTGTTTCACTCTCAGCTAAAAGCATATGTGTATTGAACAAATGGTTTTGTTGATGTTTCTCAGAAAATTTGCACTGCTGAAATATAGTGAAAAAATCAGTATTTGGTTACATATATCTGTGCTTGATATTTAAATGTAATACTCAGTTTTTTTCTGCTTTCCTTTGCTTTTGGTAGAAGCCTGTTCACCTAACATAGTCACTCAACATGCACCATGCCAATCAGTGTGCTGCAGAACTCCATTTCTTTTTAGGAAATGGGTGCTGGTATAGCATGCTATTTAGAATGAGCAATAGAAAGTTCAGATGCTGTGCTGGCTAATTTCTTTTCTAGGGTAGGCTGTAATGCTTCCTGCTCTATTCTCATTATTTTTCTAACTTGCCAACAAAATGCATTTTTAACAACTTAAAATTGTTGCCAGTGAATAATAAATGCTTTGAATCAGAGATCTTCTCCTGCCTCACTTTGGTCAGACGTCACTTTCACATATCCTTAAAAAATGGTTGCTTGGACAAAAAGTGTTTGCGAGATCATTCATGAAGTATTCTCCCTAGAAGTTGGTAGTTCACTTGAAGGCAGTAGCATGCTGACCACTAATAATCAAGCAAAGCCATGCTTTCGAATATTGTCTGGAGTAATGCTTTAAAAATTTACGCACTCCCAAATTATTATGTGTGAAACCCACAACTGCACATGCAAATTGACAGGAAAAAGGCATTTTGCCAGCAGCCCCTGTCAGTCTCTAGAGTGTGAGTTTTCCAGTGGTGTGTCAAAAATGGCAAGGGGTGTTGCTGGTGTGTGTGAAACTGGTCTTCCTGAGCCAAGAGACTGACCCCAGCCAGCACAAGCTGAAAAAGCCCAAGAGTTAAACTCTGGCTGGGCCCCTTGTTGGAAGAGAAAGAGGGGGCTTTGTGAATTAAGTTTGTACATATTAGATATGTGGAAAAATGTTCAGCAAGGTGTTTCTTCCTCTAAAGAAGTCTTCAGTGCCTAAAGCCATTATATGCTGTAATAGTGGGCTTTTGCTTCTAACTTCCACAGATGCTTTAAAAATGCCATAGATACAAACACATGGGTGTGAGTATGCTCAGCTTTCAGGATCTGCCTTTAAACAATTGTAATGTCTGATTTCAGAGGGTATTTCCTCTTTGAAGTACTCTGTGGGTTGAGGATGGGATTTGAATGCATCCCATTAGTTTGTTTCATAGAGTAGAAATGTATAGTCTTTTACTTTCTGGATTTAAGGGTGTCTTTTTTTTTTTTTCTTCTTCTTTTTTTTAAGTTTAATAAAGTGTGTCTGATGAATCTCCTGCAGTGTTACATAGGGATCGGATGTGATCCCTGCTAACAAATCCAGATTCATTAGCATAACTCAAATCCATCCCCTAATATATCTCACTAGGAAAGCCAGATGCATTTGGTTTTGGCTACACATTTGTTAAGCTCTTGATTCATAAACATAGGTTGGTTCTACCTGAGATAATCTTCCATGGAAAGCCAAGATGTATGATTTGGGGCACAGTAACTCAGAATCGGTAGTTGGCACGGTTTTATAACTGAAATAATGTTGCCATAAAGAAAACATGTTAGTTATATACTATGCGGTTTCATTAGGATTAGGTTTTGGCCATGCAAATGAGACAGGATTCGTTAGCACAGCTTAATTCCAGTCTATGGTAAGTCTATGTGAAATGCACATTCGATAAGGTTCCTCCATTGTCTTCACCAGAGTTTATCCCTTAATCTGTTAAAATGTTATGAAAATGCAGTTGCAGTGTTTATACGCAGACTACTTTAAAATGTTAATTTTTAGATTCACATTAGAATATTTTTAAATCACAAAATGCAAACAGCAAATGAAAAAATGAGAAGATTGCCAAATTTTGTGTTTTAAGGTGCATCTACTTATTTTTTTCTAAAGGTGAATGAAATGGCTGCAGATGCCTCTCAAAACTGTTTGCTTGTTTCTTAGGGGAAAAACTGTTAACGAATTTTTACAAGAAGAAATTCCTCCAGCTCTGAGAACACTCATACTAACTTTTATCCCGTAGGGAAATGCTTCTGTCAGAATTGCAAATCCCTTAAAATAGGGGCTCATAATAAAAGTGTGTCTAAAGCCTTGCAGGACATCTCGGTACCAAATTTCTGACAAAGAACTGTTCTGTGTGCTAGCGAAGAATTGATATAAATATCTATGAAGCGTGTGGTGTTAATTACTCTAAAGCAGTGGCACTGTAGGTGATGTGAAAACCTTCACTTTTCATCAAGTGCTATTCATATTTGCCAAGGGCACTATAAAGCTCTCAAATCTATATTGATTTTTTACATTGTATGTCACGTTGGAACCAAAACTCCAATAAATTTAACACGTAAATTATAGTCATGAGTAAATACATTTTAAGGTGGTAAGTTCACTTAAACACAGTTCTGCGAGCTGTTAGTCACTGATGTGTACACACTTGGCCAGAAGACTCGACACATTTCTCTGCATTAACCAAATTTGGGAATACAGGCTTCAAAATTAAATAGCAGTTTGATCTCCTGGGGTACTTTGTTCTGCCAACACTATTATCAGAAAATCTAGGAATTATGTGATTGTCATTTAACTCTTAACAAAACTTTGTTCTTGTAAGGTGTAGCAAATATCTGTAGTGCATATAGTGGGTATTTATTCGTTAGAATAAGAAATAGGTGGGTGATAATCAAATAAGAGAATGTGAGCAACGTGTAAGTGTTAGTTGTTTGGTTGTTATGCTACTTTTTTGCCTATGAGAAGCCCATATGTGAAGAGCACATTGGCTCAATTTGTTGCAGTGGGCTGGTACATGGGGCTTTTCATGCTCCAGTGAGTCCTCTAATGAAGATTGCCAGTCCTCATGCTCACACAAAATTTATTTGGTATGGAGGAATTTTGAATCATTTTTGAGGCGATGTGTAATGCAGTATTTTTGTGTACCATGTAAGGGGCCTAGATGCACACCATGTTTGTGTGAATCTACATGCACACGAAGCTAGAAATAATAAGAGGCATGTTCCATGCCTGCCATTTTAACAATGTTATTTCAAGAATAGCTGTGTTCAAATTTATATGCTAGGTCAGAGGTTCTCAGTTCCTTGGGATTGAAATATTCTCAGAATTTACAGAATCTGCACTAATATGCTAGAAAAATAATATATAAATCTTCTCTTTTAGAACTTCTTTATAGTCTATAATTGAACTTTGATCTTTATGTTTGAGCATTGTCATGATTTAATATTATCCCAAATGAATTGCCAACCTTCAACTTGATATTGGCCGGCTAACTTCCTGATTTCTGAGCCTCTTTAGTTCAACAGAAAAAGAAAAAACTTCTATGAAATGGTGACTTTAAAGCTATGGTAGTTGTCCTGGCAATAGACTATCACAAAATGCACTAAATGATAAATAGATAATTAAATGAAAACATTGCTAACAACTCGTAAACGATGCTATGGGAAATGAGAACAATGCAGATGGCAAGAAACTCACCTAGAGTTTTGCTGTTGTTGTTGACTTTTTATTTCCAAGTGTAGATAATGAAGGAAGTTTATAGAACTAATTTTCTAAGTTAAAGAAAAAAAAAACACAAAAAAACAGAAAACCCCAAAACCAAAACAACGTGAAAATTGGAATGGTTACAAATCCTTCAAGATGAATCTAAAAGTCATTCAATTGCTGGTGAAAGGAACTAGTTGTGATTTGGCTTGATAGCCTACAGAACAAGGCTGAGCATATGTTGGTGGTTGTGCAGATAGCAGTGTGAAGATCAACAGTTATTTCATTTCCAGACAAGGGAAAACGTCATAATTGTCTCAATGGACCTTGGAGTAATTCAATGTAGTGAATGTAATGCTCATGAGAAGTCCAAATGTAGAGATTAAGATTTCCTTTTTGATGTGTTCTGTAATTCCTCTGGGTTAAAAAAAAAAAAAAAAATAGCGATTTGGTGCCCATAATAACTTCAGAAAAGTTAGGAAATATTTCTTTTGATTTATGGAGGGTGTGTCACAAGGATATTTCTCTCTTTGACCACCACATAGACTTTATGATATTTTTTGAAACCCATTGGATGGCCAAACACTGGGCAAAGTGATATTTCCATTGACGCTACTCTAATCATGACATAATGATCAGAAATCATTCACATAATTTAAAAGTATCTCATTTTTGAGACCTGCTTTAAGAAGAAGTACAGCAGCCTCACACTCTTTGAATTTAAATGAACTCTTGTCTCCAATAATACACCATAATTTCTTAAAAGAGACTGGTGTCTACAGTACTCTCTATTTTTTCCTTCTTTTTTTTTTTTTTTTCCTGAGAAAGTAAAACAAATCTTCTAGCTCATATGCCACTTAATAGTAACTGCTCACAAATGTAATTTTTATTTAATTGATGACCACCACAGATCAACGGTATATAGTAAATCTCCATGTTAAAAGGACTGGCAAGAATCCCAGCTAGCATAAATCAGAGGAGCTCTGTTGACAACCTTGCTGACTTCAGTCAGCTGAGAACCTGGCCCACTTATTGTGTAAGCATCACGGTGTTACTTGGAGTCCAGTCAGTGAAGAGCATGATTTTAATATCTGACTTGGTATTCTCACTCTACTCTTAGAGCATCCAGAAGTTACCTATCAGAATGTGGTTCTTTGGACCACTTCCATTCTTCTTCCAAAAAATTAATTGCTATGGTACTTACTGTCCTGTCCCCTTCTCTGCTCATACCTCTTTCCGGACGTGGAGTTCACTCTGCAAGTATTTGCTTCTGAAATGCAATTAACTATATTACATAGATATAATTCATGTTTGTTAAAAAAAAAAAAAAAAAAAGAGGTCATGATACCATTACACCTTCTGTTGTGTCAGAATTTGAGATTCTGTCTGAGAATTTGAGATGTTAGCAATTCTCTACTCTTTTTTTTTTTTTTTCCCCTCATAAAAAGTACTGAAATATGAGTTCCTTCCCAGCGTGGCCGCATCTCAACCATGTACACCAAAAAGCAGTTAAACAATGACATTCTCAGTGAGGATGTGGCTTTTGCGATTTTGTTTTAATTGTTTCTTTTCCAGAAGTATTGTCTCTCCTAGGCTGGGATTCTGCAGCTCAGGATTAGTGGCTTTGCTGCAGCTTGTGAAAGCTGCTCAAAAACAGCAACTCTGTCAGGCTGAGGAGAACTTGAAGCTCCCCAGAACAAACAATTCATTGCAGCTGTAATCTTCATTTTATATTGTACAACTTGTGAATGTCCATTCCCTCCTCTTCTGGTGTCTCATTTTATATCTGTGTGCAAAGCTGCCACACACCCTACCGTTCTGAATAGGAGGTTGAATGCACAGATACAAGGGATGCGTAACGTAAACCATACCGCCAAACTTATTGTGAATATATTGCTCTTCTTAAAAATGCTTGTTGTTTTTTCATACTACAGTATGACAGTAACTGTCTGTGTTTGATGTATGGTTTACCAGCCTGATGTAGACTTATGGTTAGAGCTTAACTTGTTAGTTCTGCTTTTGCAGCCAATTCAGAATAACTACAGATGCCCCAAGATATTAAAATTGACTGCTCAAATGGACTCAGTGTGGGAGTTTCATTGGTTTTAAATTGATAACAGCTGAAAGAGTGAATGATTAAAGCTGTATATGGGCATAGTATGCAGCTCCTTTGTACAAGCTCTTGTGAACAGAATCCACTGTATGGGAATTGCCTTTGTTCTAATAAAAGATATTTCTGAACAATTGTTAGTTTAAATTTTTAAGTGATGAAACAAGAGCGTTTCAGGAGCCTATAGAGGAAATAATTCCTGAGAAACTGGAATAACTCTGAGAAGATAAAGTGGATTTCTATTCAGAAGGGAGCATTTAAAGTTAAGTAGCATTCCATAAGGTGGTAATTGTGTCTATTTCCCAGGCATTTGAGTTAAATAAGCTGGATAGGAAACATAAACTGTCATAACAGGAGGTTAGAAGTGTTGTGTACATCTTTTTGGTTTTTTTTTTCAAGTCATAAAAAATGAAGATTTGAAGGACTTCACCACAAATAAATCAAACAAGGGTTTTTTTGCTTCCTTTATCCCTTTGGGAGCAGTTTCTGTTCTTTGAAAAAATGTTCTGGATAGTTTCTCCTCAAACTATATTTGAATATACATACTTATAAAAAGAATAAGAAACAAATATTTATACCTTACTTACACATCAATCTATTGTACAAAAATTAATAACTTGCCATTCAGATAATGCCTTGTATTTAAAGTGCTGCACAAGCAAATATAAAGTGAGATTTCCCCAGCTATCCCCATGACCTCTAAGAGTGTAAACATGGTGGTTGTAACTCCTGCAATTTCCATGTTTATGTACAGAAACAGATCCAGTAAAAATCCATTGGCTGGATACAGTCACAGTGCCTGTGGCTTAGGAGCACCCAGAATTCAGAATATTTGGATGGCTCCTTAGGTCAAGTACTTCAAAACCGTACAGTGTGACTATATCTGTATACTGAAGGGCATGTGAAATGGGATTAAATGGGATTAAATCATCTGCTGGAGAAGGTACAGAACGCACATCCAGAAAAGGGGTGATGAAAAGGTGAGAACTACAAAACTGTTTTCAGACTTGTCAAAATTTCATCCCAGGGACAGCGAATGTTCTGCATTCATATTAAAGAATAAAAGAGTAACTGCAAAATCCTGGAAGTGATTATGAAGTGCATATAACAGAGATATTGCTGAACTTCTTTGCATTCATTTTCATTCAGTTCTTCAAGTGCTGCCCATCTAAACGCAGTGCAGCTCCTTGCCTGTTTTATTCCCGAAATAGTTTACAAATATATTTGTTTTTTACTTCTTTTTTAACATGATTTACATGGAAGAGCATTCCATCTTATGCAAAGAATTTGACAGGTCTCTGCTAATATCAAAGAAAAAAACAAACACAATTAAGATGTCAAAGGAGGAAGTGCTAGTACTTTTTAATCGTAAATCTCTGTATATATAATTACCACTGAAGGCAGCTATAAATGTTTTATGAAGAATATGTAACCAGACTGTGCTTTGTCAGAAACATAACCCCAAAACATGTAACAGCCTGTTTGCTGATGCTTAACGCGCACATGCACACAAACTTCTTCAGTGTTGTTCTGTGAACCCAGTCCTGCATTCCTTCTGCAGCCAAAACTACAGCTAACTTAAATTCAGGCTTTGGTGTACTCTACCCAAATGCAGATCACATGCACTGGGAGATACACTTGGTGCATATGCCATCCTCATTGGTATGCTGAATAAGCTTCTCTGGTGAATTCCTGCAAAGCCTTCCCTGTCTTGTTTCTCAGGATGGTTTGTTGGTTTTTTTTTTTTTTTCTGGGGTATTTGGAAAGCAAAGGCAGTCAAGCTGCCCATATCTGTGCTCAGTAAGAAATAGCATTGGTTAATGACAAGAAGGTGAAGCTAGTGTCATTCCAAAGCAGAAAATGATCAAACAGAACTTGGCGTGGTATCGTGAAAAGCTGAGTTTCTTTGAGGAAGAACTATTCAAAATGATTAAGGTGAAAGATGGTGGGACTGTCTATGGAGAAGTGTCCTGGTGCCACAGGAACTTGAGGACTGCAGGCACTTGTGCTGCCCTGGGAATGAACGTGCTTGGTGGCTTTGCCCTACAGAGCCCAACCTTGTGCTCGCTCCCCTCAACTGTCTTCAAAAACATTTTCGAAAGCCTCTACACCAATTTTCAAAATGTATGCTGTTGAAATGCTATATGGAGACTGTCTTTTTGTATAAATGATGGTAGTATAGGCCTATTGTTTGAACATTTAACTGGCTCCTATTGAACAGTTCTGTTCCTCTGTTTGATTCATTTTGATTCTAGCTGACAACATCCCCATTACTGATGGCTCTTTTCATAATTTCTCAAACATATAGAGTGGAAATGAGGTGGAGGAAGCCAATTAGTTATCTGGAGAGTTTAACATGATTATGCAGCTATGTTTTAGGATGAGCACTCTGAGTTAATCAAAACTTTCACATGATAAAAATGAAAACATAGCATTATTGGGCCGAATGCTTATATATCAATGAAGCAACACGTCACCAGTTAAACTTGGTGTAACATATGCCATCCTCATCAAAAGACATTTAGTATCTTGCATGTTTCAAACAGGTAATTTGATGATTAAAATATCCTGTATGGGTTAGATGAAATTACATTCTGAGTCCTAATAGTGGAAATTAATAAAGCCCTTGCACCCATATGGTGCTCTATGATGAGAGTGAAACTCCACATGCGTGGAAGAGGCTTAAGAGTCAAGGTTGGATCATTAGTTGTTATGCAGGATTTTGGATTCAATAGGACTAAGGAGCGTTGTTTCAAAAATAGACTTCACTTCTTTATGACACATCCATACGAATTCCAGAGACCACAGCCTGCAAGCATTAAGATCATGGTATACACAAAAATTTTAGCTTCAGCACAGTTCAGGTTTATGAGTGTTACTGCAAGTAAACATCGAGAGCTTTGTTACTGGGGCTGAAGTTGATGAGCATTAGGACTCAGAGAGGACTTGTTTCCAACTTTGTCTGCCCACCTTTCATACTTGAGTTTTTAATTGATATGCAAACTCAGAAAAGAGAAAAACCCCACTACTACTAATATGCTTAATGTATTGTTCTGTGTTTTGTGTTTGTTTGTTTGTTTGTTTTCCCCCTCAACATGTAGATCAAATTTTTGGCTCCCATTTGCACTTGGTATGTGAACATGAGAATTCTACGGTCCCGCAGTTTGTGAGACAGTGTATAAAAGCAGTTGAAAAAAGAGGTGAGTACCTTAGTATTTAACGCTATATTTTGTTTGTGTGTTAATATGAAAATGTTATGTTGTTAATGTTAATTTAAAAAAACTTTAAAAAGTTTAACCTTACTCTTCTCAAATGTCCAGAGGAGTCAGGCAGATGGTTCTACGGTGCAGTTATGGATTGCACTATGCCCAACCTATGTCTTCATTTTCTTTGTGCAATAAGACCTTAATAAAACCCATTCGTGATTATTCTTCCTTATATCTTCTTTGATAAATAATATGTTGTTATTTTAGTCTTTCTCCAGGTAAGCAAATGTTAAAAATTGATAACATGTCAGCAACTTTCTTTCTGAAATCTCTGGTGAACATAATGCCAATATGTTTTAGTAAGTTCTGAATTGTATTCAATGAAAATTAATGTTGTTCTAGTGTGAGCACCAAATTTTATTTTTTTTAAATGTATGCAAGAGCCTAGTTTTTCTTGTTACTTTAAAAAGTAATAATACTGGAAGGATAATGGAATGAGTATTCATCCTCATTTAAAGTTTTGATTAATTTATTAAGAGAGACTTTCTTAGTAGAAAAAGATATGCTTAACACCATTGCCTTCCTTCCTTCCTTTTGGTTGTATCTTCTCTCACTGAAGGTCATTTTCTTTGGAAGGTACATGCGGTGGATGCAGAATCTTAAAATGTATTGTATAAAAATGTGAGGCTTCATCACCATCTGTTACGAGTTTACAACTTGTTCCAAGGATCTGGGGAAACATATATCTTGCAAAAGATAGAAAATTTATTTTCAGAATAAGACTGGGTGAACCCATTGTCACTGCCATATACTGGAGTCTCAGAACAAAAGAGCCAATGATAGATAAAAAGACATTTAGACCCTTAACCACAAAGGAAAAGGCTATTTTAATTCCATCATTGCTACCTGATTTTATAGTGAAAGGTGCAATAAAACTACCCTGGAGTTTCAAACTCTGGGAAATTCATGCTTTAATTATACAGCAAAGAGAGCACTGGGATATTGCTATTCCCAGAATGATTGGCAGGAAGTCAGAGACTAACAAACTGGAGATCGCTCGGTAGGGGGAGATGGTAGTATTGGTTTCTTGGTGGAAGACTAGAGGATGGATGAAAGGAAAGAGACAAAGAAAAGGGATATATGAAATGGAGGAAGGGCTATTAATAGTGCAGGAATTGTAAGGAGAAATTCAGAACTCAGCATAGAAAGGCAGAGATTACATGATAAAAATGCCAAACCATGTAGAACATTTCTGATTGACTGCTTGGTTCTAAACTTAGCACGGGTTCTCCAAAAGATGCATTCGATATTTTATGGATGATTTGTGGTCTCTGATCACTACTCCAGGAGAAGTAAAGCCAAAGGTCTCTGCACTGATGAACTGCAATAGAAAAATCCAAGAAACCTCATTAGATGTTTGTTGTCTGTATGAAATATGCACAGAAGAAAATATCACCAAATTCATCCTTCTGAGTATTATCCTATTGTACACGTGTTTCCTTCAAACTTGCTATAACACGGAGGAAGTCCATCCCTTTTACATACACACTTCAGTCTACTGTGTATGAACATAAAAGCTAATCGTGTCGCATGATATAAAAATTTTAATTTGATCACTGTATTTATGAGTTTCTATCTGATATACAATTTTTTATATTATCATTTTCTTGGATCAAGATGCGTGCATTTACTCACATTCTATTTACTCAGAGTGTTGTTTTTACTAAGTTCTGGCATAAACTATCTCAGGACAGCAGTAATTTATGTGAAGTTAAGTCCAATGTTTATGCAAGCTTCTGATGACATTTTATACCGGGGTTGGTATTAGGAAGCAGTATGTGGAGGTGCCAAGTCTCCCGGCATGGCTGAAACTCAACAGATCTGAAGTCCTCCTCTTAATGGCCAGATACGCCTCCAGCCAAGATACTCAACTGCAGAGTCATGGGAAATACTTATGTACCAATTATGGGAAAGGCACATTTAATGAAAACTGTATGTTTACTTTCATAGTCTTAGTAAGATGGCCTAAATACTCAGTACAGCTGGCATATTGGCTGTTGAAAGAAAGCTGCTTTTTTTTTTTTTCCCCTCCAAATTTGCTTTTTTCCTATTTAGAAAATATATCGTCTGCATAATGTAACTGTACCAAAAATGTTGCTTGTGTGTTTCATTTACTGTAAAGGATTACTGGGAAAAAAGATCTTAGGAGACTAACCCTAAATGTTCCTTACACAATACTCATACTTTGCTGTATGGTTGTGTTCTTATTTATGAGCTCATAGTTTTAATTATTATTTATCTATTGATTTTCTCGTGTGTGTATGTGTGATTTTTTAAAACATTATCACTGTGCACAGAAAGTAAGATCTGAATAAGCCGTATTAATTAGTATATGTTCCTGTGTGGATGAGATTACATACAATAGCCAACTGTACTAATATTCTCCCACCACAGATTAAAAATGTAGAGGGTGTCATTAACTGTTGGCAAGATTTCCTGTTTAGTTACACTATTTTTAAATGAATATCTACATTGAAATCAGAGGAATTATTCTGATCTTTTTCTGCAACTTAGATCACATTTTGGTTGTTTGTCCCCTAGGCTATTGTTTGCTCATTCACCACTTCAGGACAGAGGTGCTTTATAAGGTCTAGTATAAAATTTCTCACTCCATAATGCATATTTATCTGTCCAACAAGAATGCATTTGTTCAAGAGTGAATTCCATTTTTTTTTTCAGCTTCTTTTTGTGTTTATTGAAAGAAAACTGGAAATCAGAGGGTCTTTATCTATTCAATCAGCCATCTTGCAGAGCTGGTAGTGGAGTTTAATACAGATAGCAATTAAATATGTACACATTTTTGTAAACTGGAAAGTTGATTATCCTTTTTTTTTTTTTTTTTTTTTTTTTGAGTGAGAAAGAAAACAATGGGTTTTTTTCTTCATTTTTCTTTTATGCATTCACAAATGTTGATGAAATTCGTGCCCCAAGTACTTAAATGTACAGATCTGTGCCACAATGGCCAAAAGCATTTTCTCAAAGAGTGTTGGACCCTTGGCACTGAATGCAGTGTCCTTGATAGAAAAATTAGGTGAGAATATGATGTGATCTGGAAGAGGAATAATTTTGAACCATGCGTCAGTCAGGTTGAAGAAATACAGTGGCTGCTCTAAGATTTCTATCATTTCACTTTGTGCTTTCTCAGGGGCTTGAAGGGAAAGTTTTTCAGAGAACAGTGTATCCATGTCGGTTTTTTGGGGGGTATTCTGCTTGCCACCAACACTTACCTTGGATAGATCCTGAGCTGTTCTGATCTGTTGTCCTGCTCCTTTCAATCCATGCTTGGTGACATGCATGACACCAGGAGGTGTCATGTGGGAAGCATCAAGCTCACAGAGCTGAGTCTGCGACAGTCCTCCCTGCACAGAGTCCATGTGCCATGTGCTCCTGCCAAGGGTGGGATCCACTGCAAGCCTTCTGCTGTTTCCAGGCCAGATATGATTTCCTGTCATTTCTTGATTCCCTTATTTATTTTGTTATACACGATCCTTTAGAAGTCCTGGCTGTTTTTTTTTGCATTTTTTAAAGTAAGTGAAAGGCATGAGTAGAATGCATACAAAAAATAAAAATACCAGTCTGCATTGTAGCTAAACAAAATGCCATCTAGTACTTCTCACAGTAAAGTTTTATTGCGTGAAAGTAGCCTGATATGAAACTCTTTTCCAGGGATGATCATCTGTCTGTGAGTCTAATGACACAGTAAGTGAACACCCCAAACAGTCAGTATCCTAAAACTACTGGGGGTATCCAGTATACTTCAGATTTTGTAAAGAAATACAGTACTAATGCTCCAGAGAAATATAATTTAACTTTCATCTCTCTTTTGAAACGTCCTTCATTGTCTCCCTATATTCCCAAATCCACATTAGTGCTCTCAAATCAGAGTAAATGCCTTAAAAATGACACTGCAGGCAGCAGATCTCATGATTACAGGTACAGTTTTTGTTCTAAGCTGGACATTGCAGACATTGTTTTCTGTTGCTTTTCTTGGAGCACAGGATGCTCTGACAGGAATGATACACAAAATTACATATTTGATTCAATGCCTAAAAGCCACCCTGGGATCCATAACCTTGCTTAAAGATTTAAGGAAGACCTTTAGTCTACTTCTGAGGAGGTTCTTAGCTTAGAAAACTTTATCTTTCAACTCTACTTCTTAGCAGCTGTTATGTTTTTTTGCTGTCGTTTGTTTGACAGGATCCAGTTATAGGTTCCGATGTCTGTTTAAAGAAACAGGGAGGTTGTTGGCTTTAAAATTCCCTTACTGCTTGTGTGTTCAACATTTTCCCAGGCTTTTCTACATAGTTTGCCAAGTAAAGGGACTGACCTTTTGTAGCAAACACTTTTTCATTTCTAAATGCTCACTTTGATTTTTGTCCCATTTTATGCTCATTCCAAACTGTTTACAACCCACTAAAAATGACTGTGAATTATATGTTTGTGTAATGGATTCCTTTTGTGGTTGGAGTGGAATGTTTACTTTGAACAATTAGTTATCTTTGGGCAGATTATAGTGACCTGAAAAAAGAATGGCTAAAATTATTATAGTACCTTAACTATTTCCTTTTGTTATCTTCTCTGTTTGGCCAGTTTATTATTTACAGGGTTTCATTGCTGTGAGTTTCAGTGAACAAATCATGTTCAATGAGAACGGCGACAAAAACCCCAGAGTGTGGGGAGCTCATCCTGAGGGGAGGGCTTTTGCTTGGGTTGTGCTGGGTCCTTGAACAAGGCTTCAGAAATGACCATTAGTCCCTGAGAGGATGGATGGGTGCACAGACTTCAGAGGCCACAGTTGTGAGAAAAGTTTTAAGTTGAAAACCAGATTTTTTTAAATGCATCCAGAGTTTGACACCTCAGAGCATCTAAAATAGATACTCGGTTTGGCCTTAACTACAGTTTGATTAGGCATAATGTTATTGTAGGATTGCACA